TGAGATGCCCCTGGTACCTTTTTCATAGGCTTTTTGAGTTTAGGCAAGGACACAGGGGCCCTATGAGTTGTAAGTCTGCCCCTGGACATGTTATCCTACATTCATCATCGTTAACAGCACCTTAATGATTAATTTCCTTATTTTAAGATTATTAAAAAAAATACCTGAGCATAACATTCTAAAAGAACCCTGCAGGAGTTTCAGTTAGAACAGTAGAATGTGTTAAATACGTGTGTCTCACCTCTATACTAATTTTCACTGCATATTTTGTGAAACATACAGTACAGACTAAATAAGATCATGGCAAAGTCACTGGAGATTGGTCTCCATTCACTAAAGCAGATTGCATGCAGTATTTAGGTGTTCAGAACCATTTTCTCTAAATATCACAATAATTGTCAATTCACTATGCCGTTTTGCAGTATTACCGTAAAACACTCCAAACGCTCAGTAATTAAAGCAAAAAACAGTTTGAAACTCGATTCATGAAAGGATATACAGTAAATAAATAATTGTATGCTCTAATTAAATAGTGATCCAGGCACGCAATAGCGAGGGAATGTGCATGATTTTAACAGTTAGTTAAGAAGCCAGCAGACGCCAGCGTCCTTAACAACCAGTAACCGTCATGGTTGTTAAGGAGTGGGCAGCCACTCCACCACCCTAATAACTATGACTTATATGCTGACTGCAGAATGTAGATAAAAGAATTGCTGGCATTTAAAAAAAAAGAAAAAAAAACAGCGTAGGGTCCCCCCCCAATCCATATCAGGCCCTTCAGGTCTGGTATGGATTTTAAGGGAATCCCCCACTAAAATTAAAAAAAAAAAAAAAATTGTGTGGCATCCCCCAAATTCCATATCAGACCCTTTTCCAAGCATGCAACCCACAGGTCAGGATATGAGGGAGACAAGCAAGTGCCCCCCATCGCCTCCTGAACCATACCAAGCCGCATTCCCTCAACTTTGGAGAATTGCTTTGGGCTCCCCGCAGAGCACCTTGTCACCATGTTTATGTGGACAAGGGTCTCTTCCCCATAACCCTTGGCGATGGTTGTGGGGACCCCCAGATCCCCCCCCCCATGTGAATATGTTGTACACTGTACCTCTATTCATTCACTAAAAAAGTGTTAAAAGTAAATAACAATACAGAGCCAGTTTTTGACAAGCCTTTCATTCAAAAATAAAAACAAAAAATAAATGTCGCCTGAAATAGATCCAATGTCAACCATGATGAACGCTGGCCGCTGAAAAAAAAAAAAAAAAAAAAAAAAAAAGAGTTCCGCACAGCTCCGTCACTAAATAAAGAACATCATGGACCCGACATGCCCCCTGTCGATAACATCATAAGGTGGTGGGGTCACCCCGGTCACGTCAGCAAGTGGCCCCACTTGTCTACTTAGCGGCAGAAGGCGGCAGAGCTGTCAGATGGCGGTAGCCAGTGCTAGGTGCGGACCTCTTCTTTGAACATCCGGCATTCATCATGATTGATGTTAGATCTACTTCGAGGGACATTTATTTATTTATTTTTGGTTTTTAATAAAGGACCTGTCAAAAACCAACTCTGTGTTTTTACTCACTTTTAACACTTTTTTGGTGAATGAGTAGGAGTACAGTGTACCCCATATTCACTCACAGGGGGGTGGAATTTGGGGTCCCCTTGTTAAAGGGTGCTTCCAGATTCCGATAAGCCCCACATTCGCAGACCCTCACAACCACCGGCCAGGGTTCTGGGGAAGACACAGCTGTTCCCATCTACAGCCCCTCTGCTCCAAAGCACCCCCAATGTTGAGGGCATGTGGCCTGGTATGGTTCGGGGGGGGGCACGCTTGCTTGCCTCATCTTCTTTCCTGACCTGCCGGGCAATTGCTGAGATAAGGGTCTGGAAGGACCTTTTTTTTTTTTTTTTTTGGCATAGGGTTCCCCTTAAAATTCATACCAGTTCCGAAGGGCCTGGTGTAGATTGGCGGGGACCCCACACTGTTTATTTTCTTATTTTTTAAATGCCAGGAATTCTTTTGTTTATATTCTGCTGACAGCAGGGAACCCCACTGACAGCAGACGAATCATGGTTGTTAGGGATGCGGTGGCCGCCTGCTCCTTAACAATCATGACAGTTACTGGTTGTTAAGACTGTGGATATCCTCCTGTGCTTGTAACGGAAGCCGCAAAACCTCAATATAGCTGCTACCACTCGACTTACACCAATAAGTATGAATACAAGATTACTGTGAATAGTGAAGCGCTATAAATCAATTCTATCTAATATGTAAAAATAGTGCTATATAGTGCTAGCTGTGCCAACACATTAGTGTTCAGTGAAAAAATCTTGCAAACAAATAAATGTCTTAATCAACAAATATAAGTGAAACATAACATTAAAATTGTGACAAAATCCAAATAATTGTGATAGTGGTTCTTTAAAAAAGAAAAAGCGTCCTGTGCCTGTTTGACAATAACTCTTAGGGACACACTGTGTATGAAAATACGAAAGGACAATCAAAATATATCTGTTTTTTTTGGAACATAAAGTGATCTTCACTCCAGTGAAAAAGAAAAAATCCTCAATGGCACTGACCCGCGCAGGGCCAAAGGGCTATAATTAACAATACCAGATCCTCTCACTCCACTCCTCATCACAGGGACCATTAGATTGAATAAAGACCTCTGCCCAGCGCACCTTGTCCACTCCACCTCCACTCAAGGTCACATATATGGGATATAAAGCAAGAAACCTTCCATAGTGCAGTATTCCTTTAATAGAATATAGACAAAGCTTGGTATTGCACTCACATGTATTTCCCAGTAACAATCGCCTGTCACCACATCCTATGGGTGTACTGCATGGTTTACTGGGTGTAGCAATATCGCCGCTGCCGGAAGTGCGTCACCACGTACCGGAAATGGCGTACCAACACGTTGTGTCACGTGCCTCGTGACTTCATCAAGTCATATTCAGGTAGTTACACTAGTTGCATTGAAATACATACATTATTAACCATGTCCCTTCCGGCCCATGTACATAAATGGCCGGAAGGGAGAAGTGCAGGAGCGGGCTGCCGTTTCTAAACGGTGGCCACATTCACAGCCTCTGCCTATCCAGGCCAATTTTCAGCTTTCAGTGCTATCACACTTTGAATGACAATTACACGGTCATGCAACACTGTACCCATATTAATTGTTTAGCATTTTTTTAGACATATAAAACTGTATTTTGGTGGTATTCATTCACCACTGGGATTTGAATTTTTTTTCTATATAAATGAATATAAATGTCCAAACATTTTGAAAAAAAAAGTGTTTTTCTTATAACATTTTGCAAATAAATAATCTTTCTTCATAAATCTTGGCCATTACAATTTTTCAAAAACATTTTTTCCATTTTTATTTTATTTTTTTTGATATTACTAGTTATGTTTTTTTTTTTTTTTTTTTTTTAAAAACCCTAGCAGTACAGTGTCACCATAGTGACACTGTACTACTTGTGGGGGGTGATGATTTTTTTTTACACTGATTGCTTTTACACTCATAAAGGCTGTAAAAGCAATAATGTTTCCTTCTCCCTGAGAAATACTGTGAGAGCTGTGACTGGTCACAGCTTGTCACATGGTACAAGGCTCTGTTGTGAATAGCCTTGTACCATGTGACCTCTGCGATCATTCACAGATTTCACAAGTAGTAAACAATGATGTCAGGAAGTGACATCTTGCTTACTACTATTCACTACTATTCATGTGATCACTGATTGGCCAATCAGTGATCACATGATCGGGACTTCACAGAGGTCCCGTACAGCGATCTGTGTTCTGCTGTGTACTCCAGACACAGCGGGCACCGGATTGCAGTGCCGCATGCTCCAAGGCAGTGGTCACAGGCAGGGAAGCAGGCGGACGTTTATAAACAGCCACCCGCCCCTGCACTGCTCCCACCCGGCCGTTTATGTACATGGGCCGGACGGGAAGTGGTTAAAAGGCAACAACTACAGTATTTGAAACTGCTGACTTGTATTTATTTAACTTAGTGGAATTCCTCTTTAACCTGTCTTTTTACTGCGGGTGGCCAGATCTCTGCACGGGATCACGTACATGTAATTCGGTACAGCACAAGTCAGTCAGCAGGTCCTGACCAATGATTTATGGCTGGGACCTGCTGATCATCTTAGTGATTCACAGTACAGAGCCCTGTGTTTACTAACAACAGAAGGCTCTGTACACAGAGCAGCAATGTGGCAAAGCAAGGAGAAAAAACAGGCACATCTATTGGTAAAAGCAGCACATATTAACTACTTGCCCTCCAGAGGATCTAACCCCCCCCCCCCTTCCTTACCAGGTCATTTTTTGCTGCGTTAATTTAACTGACAATTGCACAGTCATGCAACATTGTACATAAATTTATGTCCTTTTTTCCCCCCGAAATAGAGCTTTCTCTCGGTGGTATTTGATAATTTGTGCGGTTTTTATTATTTGCACTATAATCAAAAAAAGGCCAACAGTTTTGAAAAAAAAACAATATTTTTGACTTTTTGCTATTAACCTCCCTAGCGGTCTGATTATTTCAGATTTTTGGTGCTGAAAGCGGTACCATTATTTTGCATGGAAATAATTTGTTTTTTTATTGTAGGCTGTAATTTTTAGGAATAACTCACTGAAATCTGTCCGAACAAGAGTCTATTAAACATCCCGGGTAGGATAAAATTTGAAACACAAAATCATGAATTATAATATAATAAATAATCATAAAAAATAATAATATAACAATAATACATTTAATTCAATAATATAATCAAACCGAAAACACTGAAATTTGAAATATAGTTCGCACATTGCTGAGCAAAGTCGCAAAATCGTTTTCAGTGTCTGATGACGAATTTCCCCACGAATCATTATCACTCAATTCTGCAAGTGGTTCTAATTCACTATCGCTGTTCTCTAGATGATCTAAACCCGCTTTTGACCTAAAGGGACACTTTTTGGACGCTATGGACGTTTCTCAGTTTCCAGGCAGAAAGAACAGACAAAACGCAGGCAGGGCACAGGACAAAGCACTAGGGACAATATGTATGTGAAATGGGTTGAAACAGCAATGTTTTACTATGAAAAATGTGTTTTGAAAAAAAAATGACATTTTTTTAAATTTTCAACTTTCCTGCCGCCGCCGGTGGCGGCGCCCGTACGTCCCGACGTCACAGGGACCGGAACACAGAAGCCGGATGCCGGCATCGGCCGGAGGAGATGGATGGGGATGCTGCAGGGGACACATCGTGGGAGCGAAGGACAAGGTAAGTGCTGCAGGGATTCCCTATGCAGCGCCGCATGGTAAGCCCGAGTGTAGCTCAGGGTTACCACTTTTGGCACTGACATTTTACCCAGAGCTAGACTCGGGAATACCGTTAGGGAGGTTAAACATGTCCAACAAAAAAATCTTAAAAATTTAATTTTGTCATAAATTTAGTCCAAAATGTATTCTGCTACATGTCTTTGCTAAAAAAACAAAAAAAATCCCAATACGTGTAAGTACGTACGGTTTACGTGAAAGTTATAGCGTCTACAAATGGTGGTATACATACTGGAATTTTTATTTTATGCTAGTAATGGCGGCGATCAGCGACTTATTGTAGGACTGCGGCGGGCATTCTGACACTGGGGGGGGGACTGTCTGTCACTGACATCCCCAGTGACACTAATACAGTGATCAGTACTAATAAAAAGCACTGACACTGTGCTAATGGCACTGGGCAGGAAGGGGTTAACATCTGGGGTGATCAAAGGGTTAACTATGTGCTGTGTGTGTTTTACTATGTAGATAAGCTGTTTTGTATTGGTCTGCTGTGCAGAGCAATACAAAGCAGCATGTTAGTGCTGACAGGGGAGAGATCTGTATTGTTTACATACAGACCTCTCCCCTGTCAGCTCCGCTGACAATAACTGAGTCCCAGGCCGAGAATCAGTGGCTGGGACCCACTGATTGACATGCCAAGTAGCCAATAGTGGCACGGGTAGGGAGCACGCGCGCGCCCCCTACCCAGAAATACAAAATCATGTATGTATATGTGATTATGCACATCCCTGCCGACCTGTAGCAGTAGCGGTTAAACACATTATACATTGTTAGGCACACAGGTAACACATTGATTGCCCCTAGATGTTATTCCCTTTTCAGCCAGTGTCATTAGTACGATGACAGTGTACAGTATTAGCACTGATCACTGTATTAGTGTCATTATTGATGTCAGTGCCAGTTAGTGTCCCTTCCAGCCAGGGTCAGCTAGTGAAGGATTGCCCACCACACTATCACAGTCCCACTATAGGTCGCTAATCACCTCCATTACCAGTATAGCATCATAGCTGCATAAATTCCAGTATATATACACTATAGTTTGTAGACGCTATAACTTTGGCACAAACCAACATACACTTTTTGGGATTTTTTTCTTTACCACAGATGTGTAACAGAATACACTTTGGCCTTGAATTTGATTTTTTTTTATTAGATATATTTTAGAACAGAAAGCAGATAATAGTTAAGGGGAGGAAGAAAATAATCATGGCTGATTAGGGTTAAGTATATATATCTATTTTGAAATATATTGAATATGGCCAAAATTGTAGCATTTTAAATATATGTCAATATATTTGGGAAGAATATTTTTAAAACATATTTCAAATATATTTTTCTTCCATATGGGGTTGTACAGCCTATAAGGGAATAAACAGGTATGAATATAATGCTTATGTGGCAGAATATGGGGCCATCTTCTCTTGGTAAGCTAATGAGATAATGCTGTCTTCTAGTCCATCCTTCCTGGCAAGGATGACTGATTACCTCTAGCTTTGTTCTCTTCTTCCACATTACCTTGACCATGTGGTGTTATCACAGGAATGCCTATGCTGTGTGTGTGATATCATGACTTAGGAGTGGCCTAGTGCCATAGCCCTTTCTCCCCGAGTCTCCATGGAAAAGCTCTGGTCTGAGGGGGTAGACATTATTGGCAAGGAGATTGGCAACCATCTAGGTTATGTATGTGGAACTGATTTATGCATTTATCAAAGATTACAGTGCTTTGACTATGAAGGATACCTAACCCCTTACTTATATAATCAATAGAACCATAGTACTGAGGTGGGAGCTATATATGGAGGTCTGGTATCTACTATTCCCAAGGTATGAAAGCTTAAAATAGATTTGAGCAGATATTTTTGAGTGGAACTCATGAATTATTAGTAAATTTAATTTTTTAATAGATATTATCATAGAGACATCAGCTTTGCTAAACAAATAAAAATAGCAATGGAGGTACATGTCCATGTCTTAGTAGAATATGAATCAATTTAAATCAATTCCAATCATTTATAAAATGGTTTACTTTAAAAATGTTTTATGCATTAAGTAGTTATTAAAGATTTACAGGGTTAATGTCACAAATAAGGAAAAAACTAAATGAAAATATAAAAAAAAAGAATTAAGGACACCATGGGGGTTGAGTGTCATTATTCAGGGTTCCTTAAATGAGAGTATGATACGGAAGTTGCTTATATTCAATTATTATAGATTTGAGGGATTCAGCTGATAGCTTCTATATTGGGTATATCAATATACCACTTCCAAAATTGAGAGATTGAAACGTGTTAACTTTCCATTGCCTCTTGTGGCATAATCGGGGTAAGTGTGAATACAATCACTCTCTTTGAGAAGTTCACATGATGTTGGGCTGGTTTCATTTTACAGTGGCCAGCTACACATGTAAATGCTATATATACCTTTACAGATATTATTAGTGGTGTGGTGGCATCTCCATTGTTCCTAGTGGCTCCCACACTCAGCCTTGCATGGTTAGGTCCCCACATACATGGAAGGCACAACCAATCATTTTAATTTAGTTGCTTTGCTTTCAGATTATTATACAATTGTAAATGTATCTTTCTTAATTCATTACTGATGATTACAGTGTATACATACTAGCCATGAACCCATTATCAAAACTTGCAGCCAGTATTCAGAAAGACTGGAGCTGCATCTTGCTTGGCCTGCTGAACGCAGAGGAAAGCAAGGTACACCCTTACCTAGCCCTTCTCTGTGATGAATGAAACAGGAAGGGACAGCTTGTAAAGGATCTGATTAAACATATCTCAATGCATTTAAGTCCAATCAGATGCTTTTAAGAGCAGAGGAGCAATCTGGGGTCTAATAGAGCCCAGATCTCTCAGTAAAGAGTACTAGTCACTGAACATGCCATCACAAAGGATGTTGTTCATTGCTTGTAAGAGCAATAAAGTTAAACCAAAAAAATAAGAGACACAGTGTAAGAAATGTAAATAAAATAAATATTCAAATTTAAAAACATTTTTTAAAGTGCCCCGTTCTCATACGCAAATGCGAACGTATATGTAGATTCTGCATGTTCATATGTAATTGGTGATCACACCACACATGTGAGTTATTGTTGAGAATGTCAAAGTGAGAGCAGTGATTCTAGTGCCAGACCTCATGCTTAATGCCAAACTGGTAACCTGTAAATGTTTTTAAATAATTGCCTATGGATAATTTAATGTACCGTAGTTTGACACCATTCCACAGTGTGCACAATTTTAAAGCGTGATATACAGTATCTCACAGGTACCTCACATTTTTGTAAATATTTTATTATATCTTTTCATGTGACAACACTGAAGAAATGACACTTTGCTACAATGTAAAGTAGTGAGTGTACAGCTTGTATAACAGTGTAAATTTGCTGTCCCCTCAAAATAACTCACACAGCCATTAAGGTCTAAACCGCTGGCAAGAAATGTGAGTACACCTCTAAGTGTCCAAATTGGGCCCAAAGTGTCAATATTTTGTATGGCCACCATTATTTTCCAGCACTGCCTTAACCCTCTTGGTCATGGAGTTCACCAGAGCTTCACAGGTTGCCACTGGAGTCCTCTTCCACTCCTCCATGAAGACATCATGGAGCTGGTGGATGTTAGAGACCTTGCGCTCCTCCACCTTCCGTTTGAGGATGCCCCACAGATGCTCAATAGGGTTTAGGTCTGGAGACATGCTTGGGCAGTCCATCAACTTTACCCTCAGCTCCTTTAGCAAGGCAGTGGTTGCCTTGGAGGTGTGTTTGGGGTCATTACCATGTTCGAATACTGCCCTGAGGCCCAGTCTCTGACGGGAGGGGATCATGCTCTGTTTCAGTATGTCACAGTACATGTTGGCATTCCCTCAATGAACTGTAGCTCCCTAGTGCCGACAGTACTCATGCAGCCCCAGACCATGACACTCCCACCACCATGCTTGACTGTAGGCAAGACACACTTGTCTTTGTACTCCTCACCTGGTTGCCGCCACACACGTTTGACACCATCTGAACCAAATCAGTTTATCTTGGTCTCATCAGACCACAGTACATGGTTCCAGTAATCCATGTCCTTAGACTGCTTGTCCTCAGCAAACTGTTTGCGGGCTTTCTTGTGCATCATCTTTAGAAGCGGCTTCCTTCTGGGATGACAGCCATGCAGACCAGTTTAATGCAGTGTGCGGCGTATGGTCTGAGCACTGACAGGCTGACCCCCCCCCCACCCCTTCAAGCTCTGCAGCAAAGCTGGCAGCACTCTTACATCTATTTCCAAAAGACAACCTCTGGATATTACGCTAAACTCAACTACTTTGGTCGACCATGGCGAGGCCTGTTCTGAGTGGAACCTGTCCTGTTAAACTGCTGTATGGTCTTGGCTACCGTGCTGCAGCTCTGTTTCAGGGTCTTGGCAATCTTCTTATAGCCATCTTTATGTAGAGCAATAATTCTTTTTTTTCAGATCCTCAGAGAGTTCTTTGCCATGAGGTGCCATGTTGAACTTCCAGTGACTAGTATGAGAGTGAGAGCGATAACACCAAATTTAACACACCTGCTCCCCATTCACAGGAGACCTTGTAACACTAACGAGTCACATGACACCAGGGAGGGAAAATGGCTAATTGGGCCCAAGTTGGACATTTTCACTTAAGGGTGTACTCACTTTTGTTGGCAGCAGTTTAGATATTAATGGCTGTGTGTTGAGTTCAGACACAGCGATCACAGACAGCGGCAGGTGCATGCCGCAGCAGGCAAGGTTCTGGGAGTACGTCATATAAAGCCCTCACAGAACTGGACGACCGTGCTATACCCGAATGACAGCAAGTGGTTAATCAGCGTAACGTCATCTTTTATATGTTACCAAAAAATGTATTATATTTTGTTTGTGTGGACTCAAGTTCATTAAAGTGTATGCTTTCCTGAAAATTTGCATTTTAAAAATGTCTGTGCAAATATTGTACAACATAAGAAATTGAAACAACCTGCATTTTCCAGGGCCTGTCCTTTCATAAAATATGTGAT